AGTGACTAGTGACCAATAAAGTATATAAATAATAAATAAAATTGTGTGATTAGTCTAAGAGACTGCAATACACAAAGAGGCATACCGACGTGATGAATGACGATATTATAAGCATAAACTTAGTGCCTTTATTTTTATCAAAGTCTAAATAAAACTCCTGTAGGACTATACAGATAATAATTATACATATATTCAGTAGCAATCAGAAGGCGTCATCAATAAGTAAATAACATTACTAAGATAAGTTCTTACTAACATTTTATATCTACTGGTATGCATATTAGCGACTGTTTTGTTTGTGTTTTGTATACGTAAAGTGCAGCCAAGGATTTATTTATTATTTAATATGCGAACGTTAGTGCAATTTTCTTCATTTATCCTGAACCGAGTTTCTCAACAGATTCTAATCCGATCAGCAAAATCAAGTACTTCGTGTAAATAATTGACAAGATTTCTCAACAAAAATACACTTTTATTTCTGTTTAAAACAAAAACCAACAACTTTAATGTTTAAAATGGAATGCTTATTCGCGCGTTTCTTTTTACAGATAATAAAAAAGACGCCATATTTTATTTAGGCACAGACTAACATATTTACAGCCAAACAGTAGCACTAATATATAAAAAATCCAATATCCATTAGCGAAATTAATTGGATTGGTAATGATTTAGTTTTATAATAACCGATCATATAGGTACTTATGCGTTTTGAAGGCTAAAGCGGTTCTATTATTGATTGGTAGTAGGCGCTAAGTCATTAAACTCAAAAGTACCCCACAAATTGTGACACCAAATATTACTATTTCTTACGAACTTACTGTCAAAACTTCTTTCACCAACATCCAATAAGAAACTAAAACCGCTAAAAGACGGACGAAGAATAGCGAACCTTAACAAATAAATAAAATTAAAGTGTCTGTTTGTATTGTCAAAATAACAGCTTTTTATAAATGCATATGAAATTATGTACGGTACTTATAAGTAAAACACATTTTTTTCCTTTTTTCTGTCGTCTGTCTGTTTGTTCCGGTTAATTTCCAAAACGGCTAGACTGATTTTGACGGAACTTCACTAGCATGTAGCTGATATTATAAGTAGTATTTTTATTTTAGAAAAAAAAATATCTTTTTAAAAGTAAAGTTCTGCTGAAAAAAAATAAGATGTACCTAGGGACGCATGCGAGCGAAGCGGGGGTGAGTTACTTTCACTAATCTATACTAATATTATAAAGAGGTAACGTTTGTGAGTTTGTGACGTTGTAGGGGGTAAATCTCTGGATTTACTGAACCGATTTAAAAGAAATTTGGTAAGAAGATAGTTTGAGATATTGGGTATGACATAGCATACATTTTTATCCCGGAAATCATTATTTAAGGAGTTAAAAATAGGGATGAAAGTTTGTAGGGGGATAAGGCTAGGGACGACCCGAGCGAAGCGAGAATGAGTCGCTAGTATGACAATATATTTAAACTATTTTATATATAATAATAAGGTGTAGGTAATTATATATGTTATTATTTACACATGTGACATGGGTATAAACTATAAATATTAATTACGTAACAATTTGCGATTCTCAATATTTTCCTTAAAAGACGTCCAACGTCCACGCATCACGTGAATCGTTACATTACATATAATCTATAAACTTAATTACTTTCTAGATCAACGAGCTCAGACAAGATGATATTTTACAAACGCATTACGTGGTCCGAATATGTCATTCCCATGTACTTTTTAATCTATACATACAATAAAATTGTAACTAAGCTGAATCTGTACATTAAACATTTTTTGGAAAATCTTATTGAAATTATATCTTATGGATATTTGGATGGATGTTTGAAACTCAATCACGCCAGAACGGTTGAACGGGTTTGGATGAAATTTTGCACAAAGATAGATTATAGTCTGGAATAGCACATAGGCTACTTTTTATCTGGAAAAAATGTAAGGTCCCATGGGATAGATTTGTTTTGTGTTGATGAGCTGCTAGTAGGATATGAAAGTGTAAAATTCTTTTGTCTACTCTTCGCTATGATATTAGCCTTAGTAGATTATTTATACCGAAATACCGAAAACAAAATGGGACGAAATTAATTTTGAAGATATTTCCTCTGACAGAGACTACATAGTTAGCTACTTTTCAAGATATCAGCCTAAACGTTACATTAAGTATACGTAGATACTATATAATTAATAATAAGTACCAAAAATTTTATCTTCAAAATACAGGTCCATTCCTGAAATCCGCTGATAAAATTAAGTTAATATGTCTAGAAAATGAAATAAAATAACTTCATTTAGGAACTTTATCGTGACCGAATAATATTTCATTTAGAAGGTACAGATTCACCCTCATACACCCTCATCCCGTTTTACTGCATAATGTGAAAATGGTTTGCGTAACACTTTGCTACAAGTTATTTGAACCCACGATCCGTGTTATCATAACTTTTGAATTTATGATCTCAGGCGGCTGGATTATAGTCAGAAATTTTGGCACAAAAAGCGCTAATGAAAGATATTGGTATTAATTTTGCTTTATTGTTACAGTTATCTAATAAAATATATTAGGTACTGCACAAATTTAAGAGGTCACAATAGTTGGAATTATTTAAAACAAAATAAATAATTAGTTAGTGAAATATACGAGTATTTATGAGCAGTTTAATTTACACTTTCTTCATATATTTCTCAATATTTAATTATAATAATGGAATGTTGACAATACAATAATTTTGAACGTAGGATTAGGACGATGAATAGGAATTAGTAAGTTTTTTAAAAGGGGATAAAACCTTTATGACATCGCCCAGACTTACATACCTTGTCAATTTCATCTATACTTCTACATTAATCTAAGAGGTAAAGTTTGTGAGTTTGTGACGTTGTAGGGGGTAATCTCTGGATCTACTGAACCGATTTAGATGAAATTTGGTTAGAAGATAGTTTGTGACCCTGGGAAGGACATAGGATACTTTTTAGCCCGGAAACCACCCCTAATGGGGTGAAAATCTGTATGGGGAATCAAGCTAGTGACGAACCCGAGTGTAGCGAGGGTGAGTCGCTAGTATACAATTGAATGACACGGTTGTAGAAATAGATCGCTAAAATCTCATAATTGGTTTAACTATAATAATAATTGGCTATTTAAACCGCACACTAAGAATAAAAAAGTTATTGTACATTTCATACAATGTGCACGTTCATGCTAGTTTGTAAGAAAAATATAATATTCAAATTTGAAACCTTTGTTGCTTCAAACACATTTTAGACTTTCTTACAAAGCTAGCAACATTTGCATTTTTATTCGCTCCAAAGCAAAACTAGGATAAAGGAAGTATGCTTCACATGCTAATACTTATCGAGTGTGCCTAACATACAAACATTATTTTTAGTTTACAGAGTAAAAAAAAGTAGAAAATATTCTGTCTCTTGAAAAATTACGAATTACATTGACTAACTGGGCGACCGAGCTCCGCTCGTAGTTTTTCGGTACAAATATAAAAATCCTGTTTTTTGTTAAAAGATACCTAAGTAGATGATAAACTTAAAAAGCAAAATCTTATCTAAATACAAAATTTGATCCAAATCGTTAGAGCCGATTTCGAGATACACAAAATTTTATGCATAGACAAGAACTGCTCGCGTATTTATAAAAAGATGTCACAGCAATTTCATGAATACTGTTCTTAGTGTAATTTTATTTAGAAAACCGACTGCGTAAAAGCTAACTAAAAAAATTAGAACAAGTTGTATTAGTATTATGCAGTCGGAGACATACACATATACATACACATAGCAAGACTCACAGTTAGTATAGAACTTTTATGTCTACAATAACATAATATGTACATATAGACATTTTGATCAAATACATAACCCTCCTTTGGGCTTCGCCGCAGTCGGGTAAAAACTAACATTGTTCAATTTCAGTTTTACCCAAAGATCTAATATTTCAGCTAGTGTTGACTCTACAAAAAGTAGCTTTGCGTTTAAAAAACTGCCTGAATTCTGGTACCGTCAAAATATATTTGTTTCGGTTAGAGCATTCCGTTTGTAAGAAGAGGGTATAATTTGATTGCGTCCTTTGCAAATCGTGTTAATTATTTTTTATTCGCTACGACTTTTGATTACTCTCTCCACCTCAGAGCTTAATAAATTTTGAATTTTTATCAAGAGCACGAACAAAGGAAGTGTATAATTTATTCTTTTTACTAATTACAGACGATGAGACGGCCCTTGGGATTTGTGTGAGTTAATTATGAAAAATTCTGTTTTTCAGTTCTTTTAGGTAATAATCACGATTCACGCTGGTTAGATAAAGATTAGATTTTTACTTCATTAACTTTTTAATGGTCTAAGAGTAATCTAATATTCTTAATAAACAATAATAAATCTAATATTCTTAATTCTTAATGTTTAAAAGTAAGATTAATAGTATCTTTTATATTTCAACTCGGGTTTGGGTCCGGGACGCCCCGAACCTTGGTCGTAGTGGTCTCGTGTCCCGGTACTTTCAGAATGTCGAGACTTCAAAAACCCTAATTTCAACCGACTGTATGGCTTATTTAAAAACAGTTTTAGTCTGCCACATTATATTTTTATCTTCTCTAAACTGGAGTAAATAAAAATACTTTACTTATAATAATCCTTTAATATGAAAATAGTTTTAATATAGAGAATAATCACAATTTAAGAGCATATAGATATAAGTTCTGCTTATTGATATAATATGTAGGTATAAAATTAGGCTACAAAAACTTATCAATTTTCAGTAAATTTCAATGAACAAAGTGAACGAACTTTTATCAGTGTTTAAATTATTTTTTATTTTATAAAAAAATTGTCATATCAGTAATTTATTTCATTTTCATAGAGCTTATTTTTTATGTAAACCAGTCCTGTTAAGAAATACGTAATAACGTATATATGTATAATATTATCGATAACGTCGCTGATAAAGACTTAGACCAAATATATCATATTATACTCACATAGTTCAAACATCTCACGCTGAAATTTCGGGACGTAGCATATACCGGTGAAGTTAGAAAGAAAAATCCATTTTTCACACCCACTCTAACACAGTTTAATAAGGGACACATGTTTATTTCAAAAAATAGATATCCTTAAATATAAAAATAAAAACTTTTATATAAATCTTCTGTCCATCGACGTTATTTCCGGTTAAAATGACGCACGTATATACGAGTATTATGTATCGTATTTTATCACATAATAACCTAGTGTTATTTTCTAATGCGCAGACACAAATGATTCTAAATAAATGCAATTGCTGTAAGCTAAGTACTTTAGATAGGAGAGCAACCGAACAAGAGTCGCTTCTTAGCCTTCAACTTTCAAGTGCACTATTGATATTATTTCATCTTTATATAGTAAGTATGTTCTCGTAGATAAATATAATGCATTTAATAATAACACCTACAATTTACAGGTTTATATGAATGGCTAACGTCAGTAGTTAAGTATATGCTAGCAACGTGATATGCGTGTCTGTTCATATACAAATATATTTACCTAGGATTTAAGATACGTGACAATTAATAGTAATACTTTAAATTGGCATATACTACTAATACTTTAAATTGGTATATACTTTAAATAATAAAATACAGACAGAAAAACATACATACAATTTTCTTAAAATTATTATAGACAACTGTAGTAGAAAATAACTGTGTATCAGATTGACATCATCTAGCGTCGACTACATTGGGATCGTAGATTTGAATCTTACCTCTTATTTACCATATTTTACTAAGAGAAAACAACGTCAGAAACTGTTAATCAACAGAGTTAGAGGACATGTTTGTTTCACCCACTTACTGTGCCAGTGGTCCCGGGTTCGAGTCCAGCTGGGTACATTCATTTGTGTTATGGGCACGAACATTTGTACTCCAGTCATGGATGTTTATATTTATTTAATATGGATGTATGTATTTAAATTTATAAAAAAAATATATAATATGTATTATGTAGTGTATCAACCATCTGGTATTCATAAAACAAGCCTTGTAGCTTACCATGGAACTAGATGGTGCTGTGTGTTAATGCCCCAACATATTTATTTATTTATTTATTATGTCGCAAGTCGGGACCATTGTAAATGAGAATAAAGTTAATATTTTCTTAGCTCCATCCCAAATAAAACTAATGTCATATTCCTAAGTTTACTTATTAGCGTTTCACGTGTCTAACTTTAGACTAACGCGTAATATTCCACTATCCATCTCGCTTTTGAAAACGTGTGTTTAGTTATGCTAACTAAATCATACTTATACATAAATAGATAATTAAATCAAATATTGAAGTATAAAATACACTACCAGTGTGTAGGTATACCTAAACCTACTGTATTAATATATTATTATGAATACAAAAAAATCGGTCAAGAGCGAGTCGAATTCGCACAAGAAGGGTTCAGTTCAATTGTACATGTACTTTTTATTAATATGACTTTTACTTTATGTATGTAGTATATTAACTTCGACGATCGATTACGAACGTTAAAAAATGGTTCTTATATTTTTATTTATTTTTATTATTTGTTGTTATAGCGGCAATAGAAATACATACTCTGTGAAATTTTCAACTCTCTGCCTATTACGATTCGTGAGATACAGCGCTCTGAAAGACAGGCGGACGGACAGCGGAGACTTAGTAATAGGGTACCGTTGGCACATTTCGGGTACAGAACCCTAAAAATGGGTTTCATTATTACCTCTTGACAACGGCTTAACTAATCTTTATTCTGCTCGTCGCTTAACAAGTGCTTCCAACGAGATTACTAATAATTCGACTTTATTAAAGACTAGAGCGACTCACCCTCGCTTCGTTCGCATTCGTCCCTAGCTTGCTTCCTAATACAAACTTTCATCCCCATTTTCAACCCCTTAAGGGATGATTTCCGAGATAAAAAGTATCCTATGTCCTTCCCAGGGCTCAAACTATCTTCTTACCAAATTTCATCTAAATCGGTCCAGTAGATCCAAAGATTACCCCCTACGACGTCACAAACTCACAAACTTTACCTCTTTATAATATTATTAGTAAAGATTTTGCCAATTAAAAATAAATTAAAAAGATTCATATCGTCGCCCCTAGAGTCGTGAATATATTCGTAGTAGGTATGTATCGTATGACGTATCAGTTTTTTTTTCATGTTTAGGTCCGTCACACATTTCCGACTACGCCACTATAGTCAATAACATAAATATTTTTAACAAATATTTTTTGTTTTATGTATAAATAGTTTATAAACATTGTGTTAAACGAGTAAGCATTCAGCAAATATCAAAACGAATTTTCAGATTCAAGTTTGTGCAATGCACTTTTTTTCCACGGGTAATGTAGTAATGAGAATGAATGAAATCAAAGCTTAGCTGTTTGTTATTACGAAAGCTCTTATTTATAAAAACAATTTCCATATTAGTCGTAAGTTGTGGACTAAACAGACATACACGTCTTACATCGTCTAAATAATAAAATATTTTTGTTTATAAGTATATACAATAAATACATAAATATAATACATTGAACTTCTTGCCTTCCTAGATTGATATCACATACCGACTGACATGAATTGCAATTTGCATCCTGTTATCCATCATACTACGTTATCAGCTGACATAAACAAGAATCCATAATGTTTCTAAATATTACATCAATTTTAATAGTTTGGCTTATCTATGACAAATAGAATAATCATAAAAATCTTAATGGTGATTAATTACCCGCTAATGTATGCATATATATAATCGAGTAATATTAATTTAATACAACCGAGACACGTCTAGGTGTATGTAAATCGGTGCATGAAATTTTTTTAAGGTTTATTAAGTTGAGTCCGGATTTTTTAAGATAAGGTTGTTAAAAACCTATAAAGATAAAATCTATAAAGGTTTCTGTATAGCAAATCATTATATATCCATAACAATAAAGTAACTCGTGAACTTTTCCGTACGTACCGATAAGATAAAGGTCATTATTAAGTTTACTGAGATAATAATAATGAAATGTGTATATCATTATTTTATTATACTACTTACATACGTCAATACCATCTATAAACAATAATAAAGCCGGATATTTATTTAGAAAACTTTGTCCCCTTATATTTTTAAGTGCGAAGTACCTAAAGAGAAGAACTGTAATGTTACTACCACTTTATCTTCTTCTACATAAATAAAAATGAGTGTTGGTAAGCGCATAACTCAAGAATGGCTGGACGGTGAACCAATTCGGCTAAATTTTTTTTCGTATGTTCCTTAAGGTCCACGTAAGGTTTTAATAAAGAGAAAAAATTAAAAATTCACGGAAAAAAAATAAAATTTATTATTATGGCTAACAAAAATTTAGAAAATTTTATTCGGATCTGTATCTAATAATAAATATGTATAATTAGAAAAAAATTAAATATAGATAATGAACAAACTAAACTGTGCAAATTATCAGTAAATATAACAGTCTCGTTGGTTTAGTGGCTAGTATGGCTACAGATCCTAATGTCCTGAGTTCAAGTCCCAGGTCGTGCCAAATAGGGTTATTGGGTGTTTTTGTTAAGATATTCTCAATACCTAGCGTAAAGAAAGTTAGTGGTGATATGCCCTCGTGTACCTATAGGAGAGGACGAGTAGAGACGGTCTGTGCCTTATATTTCACCGGACGTGTCGAATTTTGTGAGTAAAAGTGATAGAGTATACTTGTATTTGCACTCACTTTTGCACTTCAATATATTATCTCCTATGGCGATGGCTAGTCTCCGTGAGATTGGAAGTAAATACCCTTCTACGCACCCTGGGTCACTTATTCACCACCCAATCCACCAAATCTGTTCTAACAGATATTTCTATAGCGTTCACCATGGTTGCTATTATTCTCACCGCTTGGGAAGTTTGCTTTCTATTATTATTTTTAACTAATAATAATTAAAAACATCACTCTATACAATTATTTTACTTAACACTAATATAATGCATTTTATGATTTATTTTATTCCATCACAAGCGACTTGCGTCCCTAATTCCCTAACAACAGCCGATAAAGCAACTCAACGACCTACTTTAAATAATATTATTATGCTATCAGACAGTAAACACATTTTTATCTAAAAAATAGCTATCACAATGAAAAATATTTCAGAACCGAATCAGTCCTTTCAGAGATTATTCCTATATACAAATTTTACCTCTTTATAATTAGTGTAGATAAAACATGTCCATATAAAGATAACCAACAATTTTTCTTATATCACATCCATATTTCCTATGTAGCTCGTGTCATAGACGTCATTTATATTATGTCATGTTTGCAAAATTATATTTTCACAGGACCACAGAAATTATTATAGAATGAATAAAAATGTGAAAATGATTGATAAAATTTTGAAATCAACCAGAGGAAGGCCGTGTTCATGTCCAAGAGGCAGGACATGCTCGGCCTGCACGTCGAAGAAAGTTATCCCGTAGTATTTTACTATGATAATTCCTATATTAATAGTACTGTATAATTTCATATCATGATTAATATTATACTAGCAGAACCCGCGGCTTCGCTCGCTCTAAAACTACAAAAAAATCTCTAAAAAGGTAGTTTCATACAATTTTTCATCCCCTATTTTGCCCCCCTATAGGATGAAATTCGAAAAATGCTTAAATATGTATTTATTTAATTTTATTTAAAAGCATTAATACCAATTTTCAAGTAATTCTGATCATAATTTTTTTTGGATTGTATTATAAAGTGTTTTTCCGTGGGAATTAGATAAACTCCCGGGGTAAAAAGTAGCCTATGTCACTCTCCAGCCCTCCAACTATCTCCACACAAAAAATCACGCCAATCCGTCACTCCGTTTAGACGTGAGAGAAGGACAAACAAATAAACACACTTTCACATTTATAATATTATTAGTATAAATTAATCTTGATATGAAATGAATTACACCTAACATCATAATAGACTTCCCTTGAAAATCGAATTTTATTGAACCTTACAGTTTCCCTTTAAAGGATATTTATTTCAGATAGAAAAAAACATGAACAAACGAAATCCTTTTAAGATCACTGACTGTCCCTTATTTATCTTCGAAAACACCTTCTAAAATTATGACCGCAAATTCTTAGAATTACCAGCATCTCTTTTGCTATTATGACATTATTTTTTGATTATATAATGAAAACTATGAATTATTTTTATATTAGATATAAATACATGATATTTCTAGTTTTATTGAATTAAATAATTGATATATCATTATGGCGGATTTGAAGTTATGTCTAGATTCAATCCCACGACCGACAATAATTTATTGTCTCCGAAAAGTAAAGTACGTGAATATTTACGTTACGTTGTACGATAAATATTTATAACTTAAGAATAGCTATTGTTATGAATACAACTTAATATACTATTTACTCGTAGTCCTCAAGTATACGTTGAAGAACCAAGACGCCTACCGGCGCCATTTACAATAACCTTTTACAAACCACCCAATAATTACAGCCAAAGCCATACTGTGCAATATTTTGAAAAACCCAATCAATGGAAAGTGCGTCAACGACCACAATATGAAGCAGAACCAAAATCAACACCTCTATGCAAATGGTACAGACGAAGGAAGGCCTTGAAAGAATTGATAGCAGAACATAAGAAAGAAGAAGAGTTATTAAAAAATAAGAGAAGAGAGGAGTATGAAAAAGAACGTATGAAGGAATTAATGGAATGGGAAAGAGAACGGGAGAAAGGAAGATCTCTGTCAACCGATAGCGGAAGATTTAAATGGCGAAGACATCGAAGAAGCTCGTCTGTACCACCTGCGAAAAAAGAAAAGTTGTATATCAAAGAACGATCTGCCAGTGTAAAACCCCGCGCACAATCCAAAACGGTTGCGGTTAAACGCTAGTAAGTTTCATTTTATCATAGTAATTAAATAGTTTTCTTTATAGAGCTCACCATTACAATAGCTTGTGAATCTATTCAATCAATTACAAAAAGAACACCTATATATTTAGTGGTTATCAGGTATTAATATTATTAAAAACTGGGATAAGCAATAAAATTTTCAATTTTATAAATTAATTTATAACATTGAATCATTATTTGGCTAAGTAATTAAAGCCTACCTTTTAAATACATACCTAATCAAATATTTTCAAAGTCGGTGCCAGCCCATACAAAGCAAAGCACACCGACTTCGAAAATATTTGATTAGGTATGTATAGTAAATGAAAACTACCAATCAGTTACTTTTTACTTTTTAATGTTGTTTTTGAAGTCGGTTTTTATGTTTTTGTTAAAAAGTTTTTATTTTTCCCTTTTTAGTGTAGACATGGTAGTAGCAAAGTAAGAAGAAAGTATTTTAATAAAATATTCGCTTAAAGGTTTAAGTTACTTTGATGCCAATTTTTATATGAAGATTTCCAAACTAAAATTCGCTTTTATTAGTAACACTAAAAATTCTGGATCTAAAATCCGATTCTAACGTGTTAGGCTTACCAAATCAAACAAAATAAGCCCAAATTCAAAGTATCTACTATTAGTCGTTGAAGAGTTCCACCTGTTCACCTTCTGGCCTTACCATCAGATCAGGTCAACGTCAACATACAGCCGAATTGAGAACCTCCCCTTTTTGAGGAAGTCAGTTTAAAACATAAAAATAAGATTTTTAACAACCAATATTGTAGTTGAAGTCACTCCCTGTGATTTCGAAATAACTATCCGGATCCTTATCTAATATCTAATAATATCCGTATATTATACGCCACGGGTGGGAGCATAATACAATTTGATAACATACTATTTAATCAAGAACCGATTATTTTTAACCTGCAGGTTTGCTCAAGTGATTCCGAATCTGTATTTGGTGTTGAAAATGATTTAGGCCTTTCTTACATGAATAAAAATGTGTAGCGTTGTCCTTGTGTTTGATTTAATTGAAACATATTCAATTATATATTAACAAAATATCGATAATTACGATCAATAATTATCGACATAGTCCCAGATCTAGACATGTTATTCTGACAGCTGACACAGGACTCGTTCTATATTTTACAAACTGTAAACACAAATTCGAACTTACGCACACCATAAAAAGATCTTTTTTAAACAAAACAAAGGAGATTTAAAAAAATGTTTTATATAAAGGACTATTGTGCATCTTGAATTTTTGTATATCAATATTTCGATGATAATTTTTTTATTAGTATATAAAAAATTTCATTGGCTAAATTTTAAATAATTTAACATTTTTCAGCAATACAAGAGAAACTATTACACGAAGATTCGTCAATTATTGCTATCGTCTGTGTTGTCAATTTTATTGCTACCTCACATGCATTATTTTAATCATATTCATTGTTATATGTATCATTTGACAATTTTTTTTGGTAATTTATATGAAAAAATAAAACAACGAAACTTATTAAGGTATTTTAATTATTAATCAATATATTGTAAAATTAAAGGTATATTTACCATTGTAAATACAACTTTACGTCATAAGAATTAAAAATATATAATAATATACCATAATTAAAGTAACTTCTTTAGTGTTTTGACAAAGGCACTTGAACATTCAGCCCAAATTTTAAAGTTCAGTCTCACGCAATTCAAAGTTTTCTTTTTCGAACATTATTTTTTTATTATCTGTCTCGCCCGATGAACTTGCGCATCTCTTTCTACTCGGACTTAATTCTAAATTCAAATTATTTATATTCTTTAGTGGTGATCTTGAACCTGATAAATTCGAATCGACTACTAAATTACTTATAGATGACGTTAAATTGGATGGAACGTTACCATCGAGACAATATAGGAGTGAATCGGTTAATTTATCATCTTCAGTTTTATTTAAAATCGATAAATCGACTGGAGTTGCTGTTAACACGGATCTGCTTAATAAATATTCTCGAAAGGGTTCAGAAAGAGATTTTGGTTGGATATTTGTTATATCATGGGTTATTTTAATTTTTGGTATTAAGCTTTCTTCACATAATGTTGTATTTAGGTCATCTATTTTCCTTTTTTCGTGGCTAATGACGAATCGAGTAGCACCTGATCGTAAAGGACTTATGTCGGATACAGAATTGGATCTGGTTTCTGATGGATTATTTATTCGTAGTGATGCGCTGGCTGAATGAGTCGATCTGAAATTTTAGAAAAAATATATAATTTAGTCTATTTTTACCAATGTTATAAGTGCAGCATAATTTTATTTAAGAAATTGTATACAATATCATCGCCACTTAGGATAACAATTTATTACCAAAAAGACCCACGAAACTAAAGAATTGAATTGAAGAAATTCAGATAAATTTTAATATCTTAATTTCAGTCTAATAAAGAAAAAAACATTTTTAATATACCGCCCTATACAAAGTAATACTTAAATATATAACTTTGAGTGACACATGTAAATATATATGTATGTATAATGTACATACAGACAGATTAAAACCCTTTACTTAGTTACCGTAAAAATCATACCTCTCACTTAGAAACGTCGATCGAGATATATCGTCATCAGACGAGACGAAATCACTGTCGTTCTTTGGCGATAAAGATTGATATAAGTCAGATTTAACTGATACGTCCTTCTGTTCAACTGTCTCCGGCAAGTCGCGTTGTTCACAAGTTATTATTAGAGGTTTTCGAGATCTTGGCGTCATTATTGATTCCTGTGAATAATTATAATAAATATTGATATAAAGTAATAATAATAATGTCCGCCCGAACGATTTCTTTTGATTTTTGAATAGTTTAATCGTGAATTTTTTTTTAGAATTACAGTTTATTCATTCATAGTATGTATTAGTATAGATGTCTAAGACCTGCATTAATCGATTAATATAGCTATAATGTAATATCAAATATCTAGTGCGAATTAAACCCTACACTTAACCATAAAAGGTTTTTTCCTTGCACTAAACACCCATTGATAGAATAAATGATTGTAGTACTCAATGACTAAGTACTGCGTAGTTTTGACTTTAGTATTGTGAAATCCATACTAATATTATAAATGTGAAAGGGTGTTTGTTTGTTTGTCCTTCTTTCACGTCGAAACGGAGTGAAGAATTGGCGTGATCTTTTGAGTGGAGATAGTTGGAGGGCTGGAGAGTGACATAGGCTACTTTTTACCGCGGGAGTTTACCTAATTCCCACGGGAAAACACTTTAAAAAACAATCCAAAACAATATTTTTGATCAGCATTACTTGAAACTTGGTATTAATGCTCTTCAATAAAATTAAATAAATATGTGCTTTAGCATTTTTCGAAATTCATCCCACAAGGGGGTAAAATAGAGGATGAAAGTTTGTATGAAACTACCTTTTTAGAGTTTTTTTGTAGTTTTAATGCGAGCGAAGCCGCGGGTTCTCCTAGTATAAGGCTTCGCTCGTACTAAAACTATATAGGATGTATTCAATACATCCTAACCGAAAGGTATTTGCTGCAAACAAAATTGTATAATAACAGTCGAGAAGTCAGCGCAAGCTACTAATTTTACTCATATATTCTTTATTCAGTTTGAATTTGAGAAATGTTCAAGATGAGCTATAAAAAAGTAATACAACAAAAGGTTCATAGTTTGTCTGTTTGTCTATTTAATTGCAGAACAAAAATTAATTATTAATCTGAATACAACATGTACAATCAGTGAATTAATTAGATAAACAGGCAAATCCAGAGTATATCACTAGTTTCATATACGATATTATGAAATATGAATGAATCACACAAAAACAAAAGATATTAAGCACATAACATTGAGTAAAGCTCATGCACAACAAACCTGCATAGCTTTCGACAGTTTCTGCGTTGACTTCGTTATCGGTGACATGGAGGCTCTCCTAAAATGCACTGTATATGGCGTTTCACAATCTTCTTCAAAATCGGCAATCCCTGGCGTACTTGTTAAATAATGCATTTTAAACTCTAAATCATTGTCTGAGGGTCCATTTTTCTTTGGCGTATCGAAATTTTTGTAGCTCTCCTCCGAATCTTGATCCACGCACGAAACGCAAGTAGGTGTAGTGCGAATTGCGCGTTTTTGATACTTTTTGCTCACATTTTGGGTTAGTTTCGATCTAAATAACCGTTTTTTCGTATTCTTCGGTGTTTCTTCATTGGCTAGAACACTTAAGTTCGGTTCGGATACGAATTTCGGACTTAATTTTCTCGATTTATTCAAAGCGCCTTCCGATAGAGTACTCGAGTCGGAATCGTACTCGTCTATCGATTCCGTACTCGCTATTTTATTCGCTAAGTTTTTCAAAACAATATTTTTGTGTGTCACATCGATTTTGTTATCGTCTGTGTGTTTTTTGTTTTTGCTCTTCTGTAATTAATGCATGCTTTTAGCTTTTGCGAAAGTTATTGGACAGAAGATATTATGAGGAACAGAGACAAAATGGTAGGTTAGTTACATACATGCTTTAATTATTGATATGTTTGCAAAACAATAAAAAATATATTAATATATTTGTTAAAGTAAATATTCGTTTTAAAAATCGATATATGTATTATTCGTTACACTACAAATATGGCATAAAAAGTTTGACTTTATATTGTTATAGACTGAAAATGTTGCATGAAAAAAAGAATTGATAAAAAATACTTTTAATACCATTTCTTATCAAACATATCAACAAACAACATGACAAATTAATAATAAAACATACATACATATATATATTTCAAACTCACCTCTTCCACAGTATTGATGGTAGTGACAAATCCTTTCTTTGGTGTTTTATTCAATAAGCCCTTATTAAATATATGCCTTTTGATGGAGTCTCCGAAACTTCTAGAACCCGCTACTTTACCTGTTCTTTGTATTTGAATTGGAGTTCCTGTAGAATATTTAATCATTAATAACTCTCGGACTAATGAATTACATATATGGACAAAGTCCGCCCAAAATAAATGTCTATGTCTGAAATAGTAGTGTGATTTGCTATCTATGTTACTATTTGACATACATATCGTTTACTTTCTTTAAAGAATAAGGGATTTTTTTGTATGTATTATTTTAATTAAAATACCATTTTTGGTGGTAGCCCAGTGGTAACGCGCTCTCTTGGGAAAGCTAATGAAGCGGATTCGAATTCCGGGTCTCGCAACTCTGATATTTACATGTGCGAATAATTTCCAACATAATTACCATTTGTCTTACGGTAAAGAAAAACATCGTGAGAAAACCTGCATGCCTCAGAGAACCTCTTATTTATTCATGTACACATACATACCATAGCCATTCTGCCTATTGAAATGCTTCACAAGCCGTCGTTTGTGCTGAGAGTCGGGCAACGCCTGGATGTGAGCATATAGCTTAGCGAGCGCCGTGTCCGTTGGGTTTGTGGCGTTCTCTTCTGTAGTTCTGTGACGGTCTACGAATGTGTATACGGTATTTGCTGCTGTTCTGCAATAGATTTATAAATATTGGTATCTAGGCGTTCAAGTTTCAGGGGTAAACGCTCGTCCAGTAGATTTTTTTATAGTAAAAAGGGGCAAACGAACAAACAATCCACCTGATGATAAGTGGCTGTCGCCGCTCATAGATATCTGTAAACATAAGAGGAGTTGCGAATGCGTTGCGGAACTTTAAGGGACATGAAGACACAACTCTTGATGAGCCCCATGATATCGCGCTAAAAAAGCGCTCAGTTATCATCCATTGGACAATTCAAGTATCACAAGCCCTATATAGTCAGCATGAGAGCAGATAGAAATACGTATAATCTATAAACTGAAACATCATTTTCGTCAATGACTATATTACATCCGTATTAATGTTTTCGTATTTATAATATTATAAATGTGAAAGTTTGTGACTATGTATGGATGTTTGTTACTCTTTTACGCCAGAACGGCTCAACGGATCTAGGTGAAATTTGGCACGTCGAGGGGCAAATATTTTTCAATCTCAAATATATAAGGGTCACATACCGCCCTTATAAATTTGAGATTTTTTAGATATAATTATCTACTAGTAATATTTTTAAAATAAAAAATATAATATTTAAAATCACAAAACTAGAAAGAAACTCAAGCAGGCAGATGAAATTAAAATACTGGCCGGCGGGCACTCAGGCAGCCCTGTCGCGTTGTTACGTACCGCGTGGCTGTAGGTAATTATTTGAAGGACAGGGCCGAGTTACAATACTGTATGTATAACATTACCGTGGTAAAGATATATATATATATATATATATATATATATATATATATATATATATATATATATAGGTATAGATTTAATGACCTAAATATTTTACCTATCACTAATACTCTCATCCAAATCCACATCTGGTGACATAGCGCGTCTCCTCTCACGCAGTGTAAAGTAGGCGGTCGCGTCAGTTGCCAGCCGTTTAGGAGCTTCGAACAGACGTGCAGACTGACGGATCATGAAGCTTATCACTGGGGATAGAGCTATGGAGTCCGCGTGAAACGTTTCTGGCGATAGCTGGAATTAAAATGATACTGTTGAAGCACATAAATATCTCCACAGAGACAAATATTTAAACGTAACGATAGGCAATATATATGTAATATGTATATACACCTTATATAGTATAAGGCGGCTGTGTGCGTTTTCTTTTGAGTATGATGCGTTCGGTCTGAGATTGTCAACAGCTCGGGCTGGATAAAATCGGTTTTGTTAACGGGCATCGTACGTGAACTCGTATTTTAGTCCAGCCACTGGATAAGTTCCGAATTACAGAAAGATAATTAAATTATATGCAAGAAAAACTGGTTATTTGGTAAAATTTTTCCAATATAGCATTTTTCTCAAATATGAAATCTCCTTTACCTTTTGTAGAAAAAGCCCACTTATGTTTTAATGACTAAACTAACCTTTAATGATAAACCTATCACGCACGTTATAGCAAAGGCATTATAGAGAGGCAAAGTAGGAGATATGATTTTCCTAGATCTTTGCATGTTCTTACAAAACATTAACAATAAGACCTAATTCAATCCACAGGAAATACTTAGGTACTTATTTAATAAAACTGCTCCATGAGCAATGTTTTTTGATGACTTGCTTCCTTTCTTTTCTAAGATAAATTACCTGAATTATTATGCTATTAGTGCAATTTCTGTATGCCTTTTTGTTGAATATATGTATGTATATGAAATAAGGTATGTGGTTGATTAGTTATATTTTTAAATTTTATCAAACATTTTTCTTTTACAAGAAACATAAAATATTGAGGCAGTGGAAGCGCAACGGTAACGCGCTTGTTTGGTAAACCGAGTGAATCGGTTTCAAATCTCGGGTCTCGCACCTCTGATATTTTCATGTGCGAATCATTTGAAACATGTGATGGGGACAGTGCCCTGTACACTTCGTGCTAGGAACTGACCACCCTATAGAAGAATAAATTAAGCGATTCGTAACGTGAGTCAGTCGGTCTTTTTTGTCGTCCAGCGATCCGCAGCTTTTATATCGCCGTCCCGCACCCCCCGCTCCTAAAACTACGCGATGCATAATATTGTTCACACATGACACACTAACGCCAGGCGTAACCTTGTCATTACCATATAATTACCACTTGTCTTATTAAATATTTATAATTATAATTTAAACTAGTAAACATGCTTACCTTTCTAGGACATAGTAAGTGTGGCGTGAACATAGTGGCCAATGTATCCGGCGACATTCTGTTACTTGCTTCATTATCCGCAACCAAATGTAACAAACTGAGTAATCTTTCCAGAAAGTTCCTGTGAGATGGTGTTAGAAGTAACAAAAGCAACTGTAGAGCAGTTAGTAGTTTTATTTCTGACGATTCCACATTTGGAGGATATTGGGCTGAAAGTAAATAAATAAACTTATAATGATAGATGCAAAAGTTTATGTTTATATATTAACTGTAGTAAAGGACTATACAGATAAAAAAAAATTATCTTCCTGGAAACAATATAGGCCACATAGAAAAGCATAGAACCGCCGAACCTTCTGTCCGATCGACCTGATCTGATAAGTGCGGGAGTATCCATCCATTCTTTTCCCACGACCCTATTCAAGAGTCGATGTCCTTGCACAAAAAGCCGACCAGCCTTTACTGTCGAACATGCTTTGTATAACAGTAGGCGAGAGGACTACGCCTACGAATGCCACCAGGTCATTAAGTCAGCATCCCAGTTAGTACACTACCCACGCGCAACCTGACAACAAAGCTACTATGTCCAGTTAGTAGTGATCCAGGTTATCATCTGGATCATTACTAACTGCATACAGTAACTTTTTTGTCAAGTTACCCACAGTAGCGTTATCACGCATCGCCTGCACCATCGTAAGACTCGACTTGACGATCGAGTAGCTGACTCAGGAACCTTGGTTCTTCCACCATCGTTGGCCTTTTTTTATCAAACTTTTGAACCACCCAAAAGACTTTAAATATTCTTTAAACAATTGGGAAATGGCTTAAGGGTATAACTATAACTTGCCACAAGATGTCATTATTATAGGACTTAAGTTTCGAAACCGTTTTGCCATGAAAAGCAGGATCCTGTTAGAGTATTAATTATGAAATCCATAGCGCTGTGCAGTGAGACGCCGTAACAGCAGCACCAAATTGAAATTTTATATTCAGTGGTAATCTGTCGTGGACGCCTGTACGACTTTAGATAAAACTTAGACGAAATTTGCAGCAAACATCCATAGCCCGTCAAGGCTCAGGCCCAGATACTTCACCTTGGTTCATTCTCTTAGACGCGAACCTAGGTCATGGAAGGAGGGCCTCTGATTTTTTGTTAGACCCTCAGGCCTAGCCAGAACCAAAACCAAATCACTGCTGACTTTGATACAACTGGATGCCTCAGAGTAGGCTTTCTATCTAATTTATTCTGTTGTGTATATCTCCAACAGCCTCCATAGGTAAGAGCCACCTCATGATATTGAAATGCCTCCCTCAAAGGTTATAAAATCTATGCCCTAATATATTTTAATTATATTTAAAGGATTATGTATCTCATTTTACATAACATTTATTTTTTTGGTAAAATTCACTATAATGAAAGAAGACTATGTAATACAAAAATGGTTTTACAAAAATATATTCACCTGCTAAAGTACAATAAGTTTGATAATACTGATCCATTAATAATGGTTGGGGTAATTCTGCCAAGAATCCTTTAAGGACGGAAGCACAGTCATGTACAGAAAACTTTCCATCATCAAGTCCAAGACTTGATCCTGTAAGAAGTAACTGACGTAATTCCTGCTGCCTACTTAGTGATCCAGTACGACGAAATATTCCTTCTTGTGTTACATCTAAAAAAGAATTAATATTTTTCATACAGCTCACAATAAAATATTGAAATGAGTCTAAATAAATAAAAAAAATTAGAAAATGGAATGCTTATCAGTAATATATTTGTTTTTATAGGTAACCATGTAAACTTTTTATAGGGTACAGAATAAATATTACAAAATATTTGCAATTCTAAACAATTGTAACTCAATTGTTGTAATTAATTAAATTAGATTTTACAAGTACTTGGAAAGCAAAAAAGTTATATTTATCCTAGTATAATATGCATATTTTTCCTGTGACACTGAATTAAACTGCAAGTTTCTGCAGTCGTCAATATTACTACCAAAGTAGCAGTTTGAATGGGTTAAGAAATATCACCGTCACTTAATTGGTGGATTTTATGCAAGTCTAATTTTATAGGAGCACAAGCCTATATTTGTAACAATACATTTTTATTTTTTATTATGTCAGTAAAAATAACTTACTATCAGGCTTAGACAAAAATTCTATTAGTTCATACAGTTTCAATATCCCATCTTCAGTAATTGAGTTTGTTTCTTCAGCTTTCTTTGTGTTATTAGCAATATTATGACTAGAATTGGAACTAACATTTTTTGTTTTCTTTGGAAAATTCCACCTAAATTGCTTTGGTTTATCAGTCGAACAATCGACACTAAAATGAAAAATTTAAAAATTATAACTTACGCACGGAATTTATATCACTTATTTTTATTATATTTTTCTATCTACTCACTCGTCCGTGTTGATATCAACAACAAAGGATAAATGCATACGCACTAAAGTAAAGAATTGTTCCAAATTCTCATGCCTAAGCTTTTCTATAATATTCATATCAGAGGAACTCATTTCGTGAAGGGGCAACTAAGAGTATTACAACGTGCACACGGTTTTTACAATGATTTTTTTTATTGTTTCCATTATTTGAAGAACATTATTTTATTTTATTATAATACTTATTTTACAGAATTCAGTACGCTTAAATTTTTAAATTTAACAATTAAATTTCAGGAAATGGTAGACCCGCACTCCGTTTTGAAGTTGCGTATTGTTTTCAAATGAAACGTCAGTTGTCACAAGTCACAACGGTTAAACTTTATACGCCTAGAAACTTAAGAGTCATTTAATAACCTTAGTCTATTGAAGACAATAATTAATTTTACATATGCTATATTATTTTGTTATTTATATTTATGTAAAATTAATAAAAGAAAAAAAAAGATGACAGAAAGATATATTCTGGTTTAAAAGCAAAACACAAATTGTAAAGAAAAAATGAAATAATGCATTCTTATATGCAGACTAGCGACAAACAAAAACAAATCTATCCCACGGGAACTATTGACCGGAGATATAAGGTACCACCATGCAAAATTTCATCTAAATCGGTCCAACAGTTTCGGAGATTAGTACGTACAAACAGACAGAGAAACAAAAAAATTGAAAAACAACTAGATTTGTTCTATATCTCATATCCCCCTGACTCAATTTTTAGCATTTTTTTTCTATGTACAGACACTCGACCCCTACAGTTTTATTATATGTATACATTTAAAGAACAGTCGAGTTTGTACTACGTATTAATACTTACTTACCTACTTACTACCTTACCACAAAGCCGACCAGTCCAGTGTTAAATGCTTTATCGAACTTCGAAGTCCACGAAGACGAAACTACTACAGTTGGTTTAATTACTATGCTTAGCTTTGCCATTCGATACATTATTCGATGTGGATCTTTAGTGTTTTTATGGTCGGTGCATGAGTAGGTAAGGCGGAAACCAGCCTGCTTTTAACCGCCCTATACAGAGGAATTTGCCCTACAATTTATGTGAAATACGGTTCAATAATAGTTTTGCTCGCATGATAGTTGTCACACAGCGATAGATTTCCATTTCTAGTTTCCTGTTTCTTTGGCACTTTAACATGCTAGCAGGTCCTGTTTCCATTCAGTTTGAATGCATTTCAAATATAGTTTTCTTTCAAAAAGTAGGTAGAACACCTCGGCTGATATATTCACATTTCTGCAGTAATGTCATCCATCCACGGAGATTTCCCATTTTAATGGCCGATTTCACCAACGTCACCGAAGTTTAAGGGATCACCCTAAGCATGGTTAGGGGGCTGTTAGGGGACAGTTTCTGTTTCACCGACAGTTAGGGGTCACCTAAATATTAAAAGGCCCCCTAAATTTAGGTGCTCGAAATTTGGGCTTAAAGACAATCGTAAAACGAAATTTAATTTAGGGGCTAGTTTAGGGGACTTTTAAGCTAGGCATCCCATACGTAGGTGGTACTTATGGGTTGTTGGAGAAATCGGGCATAAGTCTCTCAATTGCTGGGCTAATTTCCTTCAAATTGGACTGGACTGTTGGGATATCAAGGACTGGATTTACATTATCTAATGGTTAATGTACAGATGCGGCTTAGTTACAATTTTATTATAAGTATAGATATGATATTTTTACTATAGACAAAATCCTTAATCAATAGAACAAAATATATTATTTTAATTATCTAGTTTCAGTAAATCTCAAGTTTACTTTTATTATAACCCTAGCAATTACTTATACTTGCTTCAATTAGGTAAAGCTCTAAACACTGGTGCATCCCTAGATGCCTAACAATAGCCTAAATGTGTTATTTCAGGCAATTCCATTCAGCTGTTTAAGCAAAAAACATAAAAAACAAGAACACACACCACTTTTGCTTATTTAAATTTTCATTGGTCAAACATTGTAGTCATCTTTAAAGTACATTGATAACAAACAATTTTTTTATTAAAAATCACATAAACCTTATACTATAATTTACAATTTCAAATACATACATACAATTTAAACATACTTCAGCAAAAAATATAATTTAGTTGTTCTTCCAATAAAGAATTTTAAATTTTAATTTGTATATTTGAGGCAATAAAAATGTATACCAATATATTTAAAAAATTTACTAATATTAAGTTACAATGATAAATTATAATGGGTACTTAATTAAAATTTAAAACATATCGTCATGACCCATATCTGCTAATAAATTAAGCCCCCTCTCTTTTAGTGCTTTAGAAAGTAATTTTTGTTGTTCTGTTTTTGAATCTTGTTCTCGTCTTTGAGCATCAAGTATATCATCTACTGATACTTCTGTCAATGGAAGATTGTCTTCTTTGTCTTTATCCTAAAAAAGTAAAATTTAATAGAAAAAGAAATAAATAAAAGAAAGTTTCCAGTACACAATAAAGTAACAACTACTCATTTTTTCATTCCTAAATAAAATGAATTTGTAATCAAAATGATCTAATATTTTTGCAAAATAAGTTTAAAATATTACAAAAACGAATGAAACTTACAATTTCACCTAATAGTACAACGTTTTCTCCTCTTACTATAAAAATTCCTCGTGGTATGTCACCATATTCTCGACCTACATGGATCCTTTCAATGGTCTTGTGTAAAACTAAGTTGGCAAATTGATCCACACAACGTAAATAGCCAATCAAAGTCCGTCCGTCACGCAACAGCACCATAAGTTTCTCTTCATAAAATAAAAATTAATAAAATAGATTGTAAATAATTAGAACAACAATGAAGTGATAATAAAATAAACATACTATCCAGTTCGTCCAGTAAATGAGCTGTTCCTGCAAGTGGGTTTATATTATTTGACATGATTATGGTGAAAATTGAAATACTTTATTGCACTTTACAATAAAATGGATAATTATAGCAAAACTTTATGTTTTAGATGAATACGAATAGTAAAAACTAAAAAGCAGTTCATAGCCGGTTAATTTTGACAATTGATCTAAAATCTAAATAAAATACATTGACGTTTGACGTTCGATTTAAACAGATAAACTACTTGTCACTGAACTAAACCAGCTGATACTTTTTCTTAAGAATTCAGAATCGTTCGTGGTACTAAAGAATTGTAGTTAGAAAATATGAAACTTATTTTGAACAGGTGAATTTATTTTAGTAAGCTAATATTGTGTTCTTTTATTTTTGACATAAATGTTTTTATATGAATAATGAACATGGTTATATTATCTGTTACCGCTGTCATTTCTTGTTGCACTTCGCTGTTCGCATTGCACTTCAGATCATTTAAAAATATTTTTCTTCCGCGTTAAATGCTGTTAGTGTAGAATTCTTCTTTTCTTTCGTGTTTTTCAGTTTTGATGAGTATATAAAAGTGATATGATTGTTGTTACTGTGATTTATTAATAGTATTTTTTGAAGCATTCATAGAACGATGGAGCCTGACGATGAAATTAAGTCGGGCTGTTTGTTACTTCCACCAGCGGGAGGAAACATGTTCAGTAAATTTCCTAAGAAGGTATAATTTTTTGCATTGTATTAATAAATATTAAAAGTTATTATTTTATTTTAAAATTCATAATTAGTAGGAATACTCAACACGCGGCATAATACAGTTATGAGAATATGCTTTCTAATGAGTCAGGGTTTGAAGTATGTGTACATGTAGAATTGCTGTACGCCGATTACAAATTCTATAAGTTTGTATGCATGAAAAGCGGAAATTTAGTTGTTTGCATATCCTATTTGTAATTATTGATGATTATAAACATATGTAAATTTTCCTCATTGTTATTCTAATCGTAAATTACAAAATAGAATACAATTACCATTTAAACTATCATATAATAAATATATTGAATTATTTAATGCTACTGAAAATATTTCGATTGTTGATTAAATTTACTGATATTATTTCAGAAAATATGGCAGCAAAAGTTTTGTATACTATTCAATGCTAGTATTCAAGGAATTGAGAGACTTGAAATATATGACAATAAAGATGATGTTGCTTCTGGTGCTATTCCAAAAGTTCTTACACTTGAAAATTGCATAAAAATTACACATTCTAGTCCTAACACAATTACTATATTGACTAAGTCACATACTCAACAAATCAGTGCTCAATCAGAACAGGAAACATTAGAATGGGTTACTGCTTTGCAATCTGTTGCTTTTAAAGGTAGAGACTCCAGTCCTATATCATGTGATGAAGATAATGATCTATACTGTTCATCTGGTGAGGGAGTATTCTCAGTCAAAATGTGTTCATCGGAAGCTTCAACCCGATGTGGATTTGAGCCTATTAGATACTTACTTTTATTGACAGCAACGGCAATTGAATTAAGGGATATTAATGATAATAAGTTATATGCAACTTGGCCATATAGATATATAAGACGCTATGGATATAGACAGGGTAAATTTACATTTGAAGCTGGCAGAAAATGTGATACTGGAGAAGGTATTTTTCACTTAGAACATCCAAATCAATCTGAAATATTTAAGTGCTTATCACTTAAAATGAGAACAATGAAACAGATGATTGGCAATGACAATCTCAATAGTCCCGAGCACAGTGATTTTAATATACAGCCTATTGCTAATCTGTTCCCAGGGTCTAGAAGTCCACTGGTAGCAACAAGACCTGATGATCTGAATTTAACTTCTCTTTCTTTTAAAACAGCATCTGTATCAAGTCATCAGACTACAAGTACAGAGAGAGACACTGTGCCATTGCTAATGCCTAAACCTGCACTAAAGCCTAAACCTCAGAAACCACCCCGAAAAATTATTAATTTACACAAAATAAGCAAGGATATACCTAGTTCTACAGATGAGAGTATTGATTTTGGACGCTATAAAAAACTAGATAATTATGAACCTATTGATCAAATTAAAAGAGAACATAGTCCTCCTTCAGTGCCATATGATAAGGTGGAAGTAAGGAGTGAGGCATGGAAAACATTAGGTATTGATGCCCCTGATCATACTGAATTCACTCCGAATTTAGCAGACAACCCCAATTGTATGAAACTCATATCCCGATCTCAAGATAATCTTAATACATCTGGCCCAGAATCATCAAGAATCATTCTTCTGCCAAGCCCTATGGTCGATCCAGAAGATGAAAACTATGATAGATTACAGTACTTTGGTTCAACAAGCAAATTGAACAAGTCTTCAAGATATAAGAACATAGAAGCAAGGCCCACAACTCTAGCTCTTAATAACCCCAAAAAAGATACTTGGAATGATTATGATGAAGTTGAAAATGTTATGCAAACAGCCAGATTGGCGGATGACTCACATTTAGGTTATGGTATGATAAGAAAACCTAACACACCAGGCCCCCAAGTACCAACAGCTGCACAAGCTCAGGCTTTGCAAAATCAAGTTGGATTAGAGGATATTAGCCATAGTACTTGTAACGGAACAGATTATGCAATTGTGAGCCGTCCAAAAAGAGTGTAAAAAAAACAAGATTGAATTTAAAGACTGAAATTTTTATTAGCATAAATAAAATGCAACGAAATCTGTGAAATTATTAAGCATTCCCGAATTATATTCCATTATAATTATGGTATAGTGAAAAAGTAAGAGATCAAAAATTATCCAATAAAATTTAGTGTGATGTATTCAATCCTTTTAACTTTTCACTGCTGGCCACGGGCCTCCTTTCCGTACGAGATGGATGAGGCCATAGTCCACTGCTGATCAGGTGCGGGTTGGTGGACTTCACATGTCTTTGAAAATCTTGCTAGGTAATGCAAGACATGCAAGTTACCTCACAATGTTTTTCTTCATGTATGAAGCATATACAGTTTATGAAAAAAATGTTCTTAAAAATATAAAATCAAAAAGTAAATTAAAATTGTGGTATGAAAAAGAAAATTATTGATCTCTTTATTTTTTGCATTATATAATATGTTAAGTATTTCTAACAATATTTTTATATAATAGAATTAATTTGCTCTCTGGAATATTTTGAATCTTTGAGTAAATATAATTGAAATCACATAATATAGTGAGAAGTAAATGAATATTAGAATGTTTTTTATGAAATTGATAAAATTTTATTATTGTAATTTTAAATAGTTGAGTGATAATGTCATTTTATAATAATAATAATGTCCTCCTGACACGGCAGCCAATCTCACTGAGATTAACCAGCGCAGAAGATATAGTGCACAAGTGTATGCGCAGACTCAAGTGCACTATTCCTGCCACTCTTAAGTCCAATGGGACAATACTTCGACACAACTGGTGAGATTTGTAATTTTATTCCATATTTACCAATTTCCTATGAATATTTTATAACCATTTGTACCTAATGAATTTTTATAACTATGATGACTTGCAAACATTTCATCCAAATTTTATGTGAATGAAATAGTGTTAATATAAATGAAACAGTGATGTTCATTATTTCTGTTAAAAAAAAATTTACACAAATATTGAAATGACCAGACCTTTATGTCAACATTATATTAAGATATTTGCTAATCATTATATATGTATTTTTACAAATATCTTTATAAGTATTGTAATGTAATTTTAGACTGTTGCAGAATTCCCATTCCATATTTTGTAAATCAGAGATCTTTATTCTTAGATGATTAATGTATATTCTACGCACAAGTTATTTAGAGATTATTGTTTATTACCATGTGATTTATTGTGCCTTATATTTACTATAACTGTCAGCTTACATGTAAATATGAGTTAATTTTTCATCATCACTTATTCTTTAAATTCAAAAAGAAAAAAGAGATAAGTTTTTGTGGTAAATGGTTTAGAATTATTTGTAAACAATAACTTAAAAATAACTAAGTAAAGCAATAAAGAAACAGCACAAGAGTTATTATTATATAGACTTTGTGGACAAATGAGCTTTTTTAATCTAATTTTTATATAATTTGCCAAAACGAAACAAAATCTACTTCATCTACCATTTGTTCTCTAAACTCTTACATGTAAGCTGAAATAATTTAGATTTTATACGAATTTTTACCATCTGGTGCCAATTTAAGTACAATAATTTTAAAGCACAATGGTGCTATTTAATGTATAGTTCATATCTGATATATTTAATCAATGTAATTCGCCTATCCCTATTAACATTGTCGGATGTGAAAATCGGCAACTTTACAGGAGAGTGCGTCAAAGTTTGAATTGTTGATATTTTTTTAAATGTACAAGTTAGGTAAACAAAAATTACTTGTGGCTATTTTAAAAACTACTCGTAAAAAATATTTTTTTGTTGCAGCTACTAAAAGAAGAGACTTTTTAAGAGTGATTAGTAAAATAAAAAGAAAATGACAAATTTGCATATTCGACAATGTTAATAGGGATAGGCGAATTTTGCTATGTTACTTACTCAAATTTTCTTTAAGCTATATTTTTACTAGCTCAGCCATATAAATAAAATAAGTCATGTAATCTTTTATAGTTGTTTTATTATATTCTTAAATTAAATTACATAGTACATGAAACAATTCAAAATGTAAGCTTCCAGTAAATACTGACTTCTTCAAACATAGTAATTTGACACAATATTGAACTAATATTTACAAGTTATATAATTGTATTAATATCCCCACTTAAGCAGATACTTATCTAGCCATCTAAAGCTTTTTTATCTGTAGTACTAATGATTTCTTGAGCTATGAATTCTAAATCACTGGACATGATTTTTTGTACAGTCTCACCCTTTTCAGCCATTATGTCTTCAATGTTTTTCTTGCCATTCATATCTGAGAACCAGTTAAGGTTATCGGCTATTAAATGTTTATTTTCACAACCATCACAAATTACAATAACGACACCCTTGTAATATGCCAACTTTGTGATAAATTTCGAATTGCGAGTATTACACTTCTTACACGTAAACATTAGCTGAAATTTTCCATCGGTTTTCTTTGGCTCATTTGTGAGTTGGACTTCATTAAGATTTGTTATGTTTGTACTAAAATGTCTTGGAGATTGAATTTTTGGAGTTAAACTTGAGACTGGAGTAGGAGTTATAAGGCGCCGACCGAAAAATGAATTGCCGTTGCTTGGAAAACAAACCACGTTATTTACTAAACGTGGTTTATGGTATTTTACTACGAAATCAATTAAAGTCTTGCGCGACATATTTCACTATATTTTAAGTACGTCTTTATTTTATAACATTGCATCACTTTAATCTCGTGCTCAATGCTCATATTGCTAAATGCTATGACATTTCAGTTTTCAATCACAAGATTCACAACATATGTCCAAATGTCAGTATTTACTATTTATTATCTATGAAGTATGAAATATGATGTCAATTTAAAGAATTTTTCTTTTTTCTCCCGCCAGATGTCACGATCACTATAGCGTTCAGTATATTGTAAAGCTCTAGAGTGGATGGAATTTTTGTCCATTCCATTTAAAATTTAATTAAAACGACAAATTATGCAGGGCCAGGATGAAAAGAAAATAGATATCATTTGTTCGCAAAAGACAACAACTCAAGAAATTCTGGGCTAAAGCAATAAACAATCAAAATTGGCAAAACTTGTTTATATTTAAGGCTATGTGGATATCATTTTACAGAAAGTGATTTTAAAACTCTTAAATCTTCTACAGGTGAATATATATATTTTTATTTTTTGTACTTTTTTACATATTAATTACAGATTTTCATACAAACTTTCATCCTCCATTTTATCACAATTGAATTTCAAAAAATGCTAAGACATGTATTTTTTTAATTGTATTGATTAATTTATTTTTTACTTAATTTAAATTTTATTTAACATTAATACCAAGTTTCAAGAAATTCTGATCATAAATAATTCTTTGCCCATATAAATTTTATTACCCCTTTTTAATTTACACCCCTTTAAGGGACGAATTTCAAAAAATGTAATAAATATTTTTCTTATTTTTTATCTTAAAGCTAAACTCCACGTTTTGTGTACATTAAGAATGATAGTATTTCATACAATCTTTAATCCCCGATTTTACCCAATTATGGGGATGACTTACGAAAATACCTTTTTTATCCGATGAGTACATTATTGGAATACGTCCTCCAAATTTCACATTTCTACGCCCAGCGGCTTAGGCTTTGTTGATCCATCAAATGATTAGTTAGTTAGGACCACGGCAGGATGCACCTCTCCTTCTCCATTCTTCCTTCAGCTGGTCTAACTTCCAGGTACAATACATTGCACAGGTAATATGTGAACATAATAGAAGCAAAGAACCAGGTATAAAAGTGATATCACAATAAATTGCTTAACCTCAGACTGAAAGTAAATAGGCCATACCATACGTATGGCGCCCTCCTTTCGTGAAATGTTCTTAAATTCAAATTATGATATTTTTCTCGATAATGACTAATGATTATCTGTGTTAAATGTTAATAAAAAAAAAACAAAATAACCTCAAAAGTCAAAACTCAACAATTTATATTCAGTAATTTTTGCGAAAAACTATATTTACATTAATTATGCAATAGTCTTTACTTTTCAGTGGTGATACAATAACTTAAAAGTTTAAAATTTACTGTGAAATGTTCTTTAATTAATGCATGACTTGAAAAAGCAATATATTTACTAATATAAAATCTGATTACGAAAATTCAACAATGGATTCTGTTTGGTTTAAATCAGATTTAGCCGAAGAAATAATGAAAAATAATGAGATATTTGAGAAAACTCACAATATTGTAACAGGTAATACCTATTTCATATTTCAATAATTTAGTAAAATATGTTTATTTTTTAAGTCATTATGATTCAATGTTCGTCTTGGTTTTAATATATTACAGACATAGTAACAGGCCGGCTCGAAATAACGAACATGGTTGAAAATATGGCTGGTGTTCTTACAAACAAAGAAGCTGAACACAGAGAGCAGGGAATGAATTTTTTTACAAAAATTTTAAAAGAAATTCCTAGAGACTACTTAACAGAGATGCAAATTAAATTTATATCCAAATTTTACATAGATCGCTTAAAAGATAATCATAGAGTAATACCAGCAGTTTTAGAAGGATATCTTTATATTGTTAATATGAATAATTACAACATACAGAGTAGTGGTGAATATTTTATTGCTCTGTTTAGAGAGGTTGCTTGTCAGTCACAAGTAAGACAGGACAGATATAATATTTATTTAACAATATTAAAGTTATTGGAAAAAGATCCTAATTGTAAGTATAAATATCATTAACTAAAATAATATAAATATTATAATCTATATATTTTATCACAGCTAGAATAAAAAATATAATTAGATATTATTTATTTTCGTTAAAAAAGACATCATATTTATACATTATAGCTATTATACAACCTTATTAAAAAATAATATTGTTAACAATCTTAAAAATACTTTAACATTACAGACATGAAGACTCTAGGTCCTGATTTTGTGTATGGAGTAATATCTGCAATAGATGGAGAAAGGGATCCACGGAATTTACTGTTTCTTTTTAATTTTTTGCCAAAATTCCTGTCACATGTACCTCTTGGCCATTTAGTTGAGGAAATGTTTGAAGTAATCTCATGTTATTACCCAATTGATTTTCATCCTTCACCAAATGATCCTGCTGCAGTTAGTAGAAATGATTTAGCGAATGCATTATGCCCATGTTTGTGCGCAACACCAGAGTTTGCAGAACATTGTTTGGTATTATTAATAGAGAAACTAGATTCGAATTTAAGGGTTGCCAAAATTGACTCGCTGGTGTTATTGGTAAGTTTCTTGTGCTTTATTTGTTAATAATGAAAATGTTGTTTTCATTAGTTTAAAACTAAATGTAAATTGTTTATGACCTTATTTAATCGTTTTCATTGAAAATTTTAAATATACATTGTTATATAATGAATTTTTTGGTAGTTCTTAACAAAATATTATAATTTTAAGTTTCATTAACTCAACATTCAATACAGTTGTTGTGCAATCCATTTTATACAGTGAATACCAATTTAATTGAGAGTGCTTCATTTTTTGTATTTTCAGGCTGCTAGTTGCAAAGTATTCAAAGCTGAGAGCTACGGACCTTTTTTAAAAACTCTATGGTCCTCCATCCATAGAGATATAACTCACAAAACAGATGAAGAGTTAAAAATGGCAGCTCACGAGGCATTATCAGCTTTAACTTCTAAATTAGCTACGACTGCAAATACGGATCAGAATTTTGAAAATTTCATTAAAGGAATTTTAATTTCACTGCAAACATCCATAGCCGAATCAACAACCGTCATACAGTTTGTTCAAGCGACGAAAATATTGTTAACCGTGGCCAATGCTTCTAAGAATTCATGTGAAATAATTATTAAATCTATGATTCCGGCTGTTTTAGCATATTATGAGTTTAAAACATCGTCAAAATTACAGATTGCGAGTTTAGATTTTTTGGGAGATCTGTATGAAATGGCAAAGCATTGGGCTGTACTAAATGAGATTGAACAACAAGCAAGTGAAATACCCCAACTTTGTTTGACAGCTGTCAGCGAAACGTCAAAAGAATACCAAATTGGCGGGTTTAAAACTTTAATTCGAGTGATTGATGTATTGAAAGTTGATCTTGTTGTGCCTTTTGTGGAAGTTTTGATATATAATATCCAAAATTGTCAAGATGATGAATTATTAAGTGTATCAGTAGAATGTGTTCATGCAATTGCAAGGAAATATCCAGAATTGATTATGAGTTTAGTAGTAAAGGGAAAATGTGACATAAACAATCTAACACAGGATAAAACTGCATTTCAAAAACGTTTGAATCTTTTATCTAGCTTAGCGAGCATTGATGATTTTACCAAAATCATCATAGAAGAAATGTTAAAAGTCATTCAAACTGACAATGATGCCATCAAAATCGTTACAGCACTGAATAACTCTATATCCAACACAAGTTTGTATTCAGATGATAAAATAGCACAAATAGAAAGTGATCATGGTCTAATTGAGTCCATTTTAAAGTGGATTTTCAAAGAAATTGAGGCAACATCACTTGAATCCTTAGATAACGGTTTTACATTAATTTCAATTACCATGTGCAGCTTAAAAATTGAAAAGCAGTTAAATATTTTAAATCGACATACGAAATCAATTTTGGAAAAGTGTAGAAGTAATGAACTATATTTTCAAGTCATAGAATGTTTGTACCGCTCTATACATCAAAGTGTTTATATTGTGCATTTTGAAGAAATTATGTATTTAGCATTAAAGCTTTCTTTAAATAGTGATAAGGAAGTTGTGAGGTTAAAAGCATGTTGTTTGATTGCGCATTTTCTTAACAAAGCAGAAAATGGCCAAAAACTTGAAGTTATGTATGAAACCCTAAAGAATTATTTATCATCAATAATTGAAGGTGATGAGAATCTTTGCCCGAGGCTGTTGCATTTGTATGGATGGATTGCCAAAGCTCTTATAATGAGAGGCAGTGACTTATTTCAATTTTGGCTTAACAAAGTAAGTAATTAGTAAATTAAGATATTAATTAATTATCTATGTAAGTTAAAAGTTATATAATATTGATACAAATCGTCATTAATTTTATTTTAAGACATACTAAAACTTTTTTTTTATTTCGAACCCAGAAGCCCTACTATCAAAAACTACAAGAGCAATGGCAATCCAGCGTCATTCAATTGATTTACATTACACAGCTCTTTTACAAAACTGCTATTAGTTGTACAAACAACAACGCAGTTAACAGTCCATCTGAGATACATGCATATTTTTAATCTAAAATTATTTTTCTAATTTCTTTTAGATATTAATCTCTATATCAAACCCAGAATCTAGTAGAAAAGGATCTGAAGCTATATATATAATAATGACAGAGTTCCCAGATTATCTTAACTCTAAAAATCACTGTAGAGTGAGTCTTCTCTACAAACAGAGAATGTTCCATACATTTAGTAAATTATCGGAAAAACTAGACCCAATCAATGCAGATACAAAAGAAGCATATTGTTTAAGTTGGGCATATGTCCTAGAGAAAACACCTAAAAGTGTACTTAATAATGAAGTTAATAAGGTATGTTTTTTTTAAATTATAACAGATAGTTTCAGATCAATTAATTTGAGGCCTACTGAGTTTATATATTTTTTATATTAAAATGTGCTATTTGTACCAGGATATATTGTTCTCAAAATGGAGACAGCTCCATCTATGAACATGTAGTATAAACTTATTGTATTGTATTCAGCCCTTTTTAACGTCCCACTGCTGGGCACGGGCCTCCCTACAATACAAGGGGGGGAACTTATTGTATAATGGCTGATTATTCAATAGAATTTAATGGAATTATTCACCCATTCCTTTATTTTTCATTTGCTTAGGATTTTTTTTTAAAATTAAGATATATTTTGACATAAATATCAAAAAATCTGTTCTATATATTTATTAAATTTTCTTTCTGATGAGATCTTATGGTATAATATTATTCTTTTATTACAGGTTGCCCCTCTTGTTGTAGATGCCTTAGAATTTGACAATAAAGATCTGCTGTTAGTAATGGTTGATGTTCTCATATATTTTGTTCAAGCAAAAAATGTATCTATAGCTCAGAGCTTACAGTCTATTTTGCCGAGGCTAATTAACTTGACCACTTATGTTAAATCTATGGTAAGTCCCTTATTAATATGAGAATGTTATGGAAAAGCGACATTTTTTCTTTTTCGCGTCTCTTATGAAAAAATGTTAGTTTATCGTGTTTTAAGAGCATCCTTAAAAATTTGCTAAAAAAATAATTTTTAGAGGTCATTCACAATTTTTAAAATTTCCAAAATCGTCAAAAATGATTTTTTTTAATGTTTTTTCTCGTTATCATTTTCTGGATTGAAAAAGATTTCGATTCTGAAATTTCAAATTGATACTTTAATTATTAAACGTCGCGCCTAAGTGTGCCTAAAATGTTTTCAAGCGATCTCTAACTCATCATACATAGGTATGATGAGTTTTATATCTCTTACTTGAGAAATGTTTGATTCCCCACACTTTGCCCTCCATTCACCTCCCTAAGGGATGATTTCCGGGAAAAAACCTATCTTGTGTCCCTCCCAAGGTCTCAAGCTATCTTCATATCAAGTTTCACCTAATTCGATTCTACAGATTTTTAGTGTATACATTACAAACAAACATACCAAAAGACACTTTTTTTCTCTTTCTAATAGTAGTATAGATAATGTAATTTTTCAGGATGTCCGGATAAAAAGCCTACAATGCCTGTATGAAATAGCAAATTCTTATCCCACAAGGTTACTTATACCATTCAAACAGGACATTTTGATAGATTTAACGCCATCTCTCGACGATAAGAAAAGGCTAGTCAGAAATATGGCGGTAAAAGCACGCACAAGATGGTTCCTCGTTGGTTCACCAGGAGAAAATAAAGAAAATTAGAGCCTTAATAAATAGTTATCATTAAATTAAAGTTGTTTATGCCTTTTTCTTTTATTATATCATATTTGAAATATATTGTTTGAATAATCTGTGTTATTTTTTTATTTCTTCATATATATTTCATGTGCCTTAGATTTTAGTTTCAAATGTCATTAAAAGAAAAAAGTATCTGTTCTGCAATGCTATCTTATAAGTTTTTATTGTAATTTATAATTGCAAATGTTTTTCAAGTTAAAATTATTTTTAACTCAAAAATTGATAGTTTGTATGCGATAGGGCTTTCGTAGCAATGGAGCAACTAATCGACTTACTTTTTGAAGTGAAACTACTTTAGAATCGTTTTGATTTGAAACTCGATGAAACGGAAATGCGACACGAGAAAGAGACAAATACATAAATATATAGGATTAAGCCGGTAAGAGAATGAGATAGAATACATTGCCATGTTGCCATGGTAATGGTTTTTAATAGTTTGCGTGTTAACGTAAGCCACAATCACAATAAAACGAGTATGGTCGTAACATCATACAGCCGAAATAGAAATTAAAAAGTAGGCAATTAAAGGGTTATTGAAGAAACTGCACTATATAATAAGAGTTGCCAATAGTATTATATTATGACTGTAGTCAGAATGGCAACATTTTGTGGTATTGCTTTGGTCAAAATAATAATAATATGATAGTTCTAAAGCTCGTTATTAATTTTATTTTAGTTAAATAACTGTTCGTCGCTATACGACGTAAAAATATATGAAAAAAAAAACAAAATAGAACCTATCCCACGGAAACCGTATATTTTGCCGGGATAAAAAGTAGCCTATGTGTTATTCGAAATAATCTATCTCTGTGCCCAATTAATTCAGATCGGTTCAGCCGTTCTGGCGTGAAAGAGTAACAAACATCCACACATACAAGCTTTCACATTTACAATATTAATACGGATTTAACAGCAAAAGATTAAATTAAAAAAACAGATATTAACATTTTCCTGTGTTGCATATTAAAATAAAATGCGGTGTAGATACATTTTTTTAAATGCTTTATAGAGACGAAACAGTAGGTAGGTACTTATTGGATATTAATTATTATTGAACTAAATTCTAGCTGCTTAAGTATGATCAATAGTTCAGAAAATGTAACATAATAATTTTAACCTCTCATTTTAAATTACAGCTATTTTTAACTCAATAAGTACACAAGTAAGTATATATTTATGAGAAACAGAGAAAGTTTTTTTTATTAGATAAATCTCAAGTTTCCGCACGTGCCGATAAAATAATTTCTAATAAATTTATTGGTACAATATTGGCATAGTAAAAAATATAATTCAATTTAGCCTTTTAGACCTGAAAAACGGGCAATGCACGCCGGCGTTAGATATTCATGTAAACAAATATGTTGGGACATTAACACGCAGCACCATCTAGTTCCGCGGTAAGCTACGAGGCTTGTGTTATGGATACCAGAATATTTTAAATACATACATATTATAAATATAAACACCCATGATTGCAGTACAAACATTCGTGCTCATCACACAAATGAATGCCCCCAGCGGGACTCGAACCCGCGACCGCAGGCACAGCAAGCAGGGTTACTACAAACTGAGCCTGTGACGAATATGTACTTTCGTAATTATTTTATAATTCTACCTAAATCATGTTTTTGAAAAATGTACCTATATCAGATATCTGCTCTAGATATTACTGTTGCATAGTTAACAAACTTTTGTACTGCGCAATTGTTGAGATTTTTAGGTTTTTAAAAGAAATCCACAGATATGCATTCAGAGCCCATCTAAAGGATTAGTTGGACAAATCTCTGGCCACTAACAATTTGATTTAAATTTGCATAATCTCTTATCGCGTTCAAACGTTTGCCGCACTTTAAATGGTAATGAAGACCCGAAAATGGAGTTTTTAGACCCAATAAAATATTTAAGTGCTTCACTTATGTGTATAGGCGACGAAAATGTTATGACCGCTAGGCAATTGAATAATTAGAATAATAGTTACTAGATTTGAGAAGATTTAACATCTGTATTATTATTTTAAAAGGAGATTGTCACATTATTCGCCAAAACAATAGTTGTTAAAATTTTGTCTATCTGTCTGTCTTTATCAGTACCTACCTATAGCTGTGCATTTCACGTAAAAAGTACGGATCATATTTTAACTCAATTTTTTTGTACCTAAACAATATCAGATATATCAATACAGTGTACTAGAAAATTGTAGCCATTAGGGCTTAGAGGTAAAAATAAGGTCCCAATTAGGTATGTAGTAAAAGCAAAATAATACGCGATTAAAAATAAAGAATAAGCATAGATAGTACCAGATGGAAAATAAAACTATATCTTTACGCCTCAAAGTTATGATTTTTACTGAGGATAAAGAAGTTCCTTTATTATTTTTAGCATCCAGTTTTAGAGATCAGTATGATAATTACCTACCTACCTATATGCAAATGAGTTATGAGCATTTTCTCAATTTGTAAGGCGAAATGCGTGACAATATGCAAATTTTAATTGAATCGCCGGACTAGATTTGTTCTCTTAATCTCACGAAAGGTCCGTCGCGTTAGCTGTCTAGGGACTCATCGTCGGACTTATGTGTTTTAGACCCGAATACAAAGTTTGTTTAATGAAATTACCATGGGATTTAGAAGAAAATCACCATTTTCGGTATGCAGATTAGGAGATTTGTCTTGCTATTTGACCTTTGTAATTACGGACTGTTCGCAATTGTTTTCTTATAATGCCGTACTAAATATATAATGCCATACTAATTATATATTGCTATACTAAATGTATAAAAATCTATACTATCATATTATAAAGAGCTAAAGTTTGTGAGTTTGTGAAGTTGTAGAGGGGAAACTCTGGATCTACTGAACCGATTTAGATGAAATTTGGTAGGAAGAAAGTTTGAGACCCTGGGAAGGACATAGGATACTTTTTATCCCGGACATTATCCCTTAAGGGGATGAAAATGGGGATGAAAGTTTGTGTGGGGAATTAAGTTGAGGATAGGGACGAACCCGAGCGAAGCGAAGGTGAGTCGCTAGTACCTATATAAATTATACGCACCAACTATAAGTTATCTATAGGTATGTAATATATTTGATATTTACAAAAAAGAAGATTACAAATATATAGGTATGTTATGTAATTGTTCTGTCGTTGATGTTAATATCTCGTATGTAATTTGTCTTATGAGTTAAATCTATGCTCGGTGATACTACAATATTAGTTTGTTCTTCTAATACCAAATAAATATTACAGGCCAGGCAAATATTCCTTCTTTTTATTTTAAATATCAATTTCGGTACAGCAGTTAACAATAATATTATTGAGTAGTTTTTTCCCATAGGTTTTGTATTTTAATAGACTTCTTTTATAATTATCCCATCTTTAACACCGTAAACGTCGAAGGCTTCAATATGTTCGGATATGTCTTGTCTATATCCTCATGTTTCCGGAAATTTACGAAAGTAATGAAAAATATCAAATCCGAGATAATCGAAATCGAATCGAAAACGTACCTACTATCATTCTATAGAAAAGTCCTCAAGCTGAACTCTCCAGCTTTTCCCGTAAGAAAACAACAATGATTACTTAAGTACCTAGTACTTTAAACAAATTCTTCCTTCTAAAACTCCATTCAGATTACAATAATTTTAAATGCGTCAAACTATCGATTTTAAATATTTAACTCGATTAATATAATACGTTTAATTTCATCACAACGATAGCGCTGTTTTAGTCCCAAGCCATTATGAATGATTTATGTACCGTATAGCTGCAATGTAATTTACAGAATTTCTAGCATTGATTAAACTAAATTACCCCTGGATATAGCGTACAGATAAATTATGAGGCTTCGGCGTCCCAAAGGTATGCCACATATATGCTTGCGATCTTGGTTGCATATTAGAGAATTATTAATATGAAGTATTTTATAATGGGTTAATTGTTATAATTCTATACATCGTATATACTTTTTTGTTTTGGATTTTTGCTTTGTTTTGTTGGTACAATACCCAGCATGTAGGCCATGAGGTTCTGAGTTTAGTTTTTGGAAATTTTGCCCTTTGCCTGGTCTCTACCCAATCGTGTCAGATTTTAGGATTGTGATAATAAGGGAATAAAATTGCACTTGTACTCTATACATAATATCTTTCATGTAGATGGCTGCTTTTGTTTCAGAGAGACTTGCCGCCGTGATTAAACTTTGGTTTGGAAGTCTTTCGATATACCTACTTACTTTTGTTAATTGATTTTAAGCGTGCCAGATGATTCTATTACCATCATTTATTTCGACAATATCTAACTAAACCAATGTATAAAGAACTAAAAATGATAATTTGTCGGAACTAAAACTGCCAACAGCTTATAAAGAACAATCATGTTCATATGAAAATAATTTTAGAAATTATTCATCTTTAAATGACTTAAATAAGAAAGTACAGTAAATTATTATTTTAATACAATAAACTAAAGAATGTAGAAGAAGTAAGAATAAAAGAAATAGAAAGTGGCTTAGAAAATGTTATTTATTTAGCGCGCCTACTGCCTACACCAGACTTATGAACAATAAAAAGGATTTAGTTTATTACACGGCGGATGAAACTAAGAACTTAATTAGACAACATGAAGCTAATCTCATTAACTCTTGCGATTATAATGTTAGTTTTATAATTCACTAGCGACTCACCCTCGCTTCGCTCAAGTTCGTCCCTAGGTAGGTTTTGACGCTAAGTAAGTATGGAATAGATTTTTTTTAATTTTCATTTGTGAATTTTTCAAATGTTTTAATAGTTTTCTGCTGTTCGATGTGAAGACAAATCCAACAAAACAAAGATCAAAAAATCGGTGCAGCCGTTCTCGAGTTATAAGTGTTGTAACAAATCCGACTTTGTTTTATACATACGAGTATATATAGATTTATGTAGGTAGCAGATTCATGCAAAGTCTAATAGGTATTTTACAGGAATTTA